TTACGAAAATAAATTTATTTAGCCAAAGATTAAACATGACCCGTTTGATGAAGAAGTTTTACTTCTAAACAGAATAGGTATGTCATAATTAATCATAATTAAATCTACCATAATTTGTTTTTCCTCGTAATATGCATTAACAGTATTTAGCACCAAAATTAATATAATATCAAAAATATTAAGCTACCGTTATCAAAAAAAATATAATACAAATTTATTTAAGTCTGCCATGATTTGTCGCAGAGTGGCCACCGGTAACGTCTCTGTCTGTAGAGCCAAAACCATTTGATTTTTTTAAAATCCGTTTTCACAGCGAAATCAGAAAAAGCAACAATTTAAAAATAATAATAATTATACAGGGTTCTCCAAGAAAATGAAACATTTCCCTCGCTTTTTCCGTTATAACAATACCAAATAGTATGATATTATACATGGTATTTCTCAGGCTATTACCAGTTTTATATGAAAATAGTATAGATTTCAATTACCTGTATGCAGCAAAAGAAGCGATTTAAAACCAATTTTTTTTGCGATAAAAGGTTTTCGAAATTAGTCAACATTTTAGGCCGATGTAGTACATTTTTCATTTCAAAACAAATCCGTATGGGGTGAGTCAAAACTCAAATACATAATTTTCTCATTTTTTTCATTGACCACTATGTATTTTATGTCATCATTTAAAAGTACCTTAATTAAAGTTTCATTTAAGTTAGGTCTAAAGTTAATAGTTTTGGGAGATTTATAAATTTAAATGACACAAAAGGTAATTAAAATACTTTAATTTTAACTGGCCACTGGTTAACAGGAGACAAACTGTTAATAAGTAGGTAATTAGAATTTAAGCAGCTGAAATTTATTATTAACTGAATACGTTTTTATCAATTTCAAATAGAACTTTAACATTGCAATTTTTTTATGTAAATAAATTCTTAATGGGAAATGTATAAACCACTTTTAAATTACAAATAAACATTTTAAAATTACAATATTTTAAAACTACAAACATTTTAAAATTATAAATATTTTAAAACTACAATAATTTTAAACTTACAAACATCCCAAAAGAAAAAAAACAATTAGTATATGGACTTGCTTATAGAGTTGAGCCAAGATAGAACCAAAATGATGATGTATGCGCTTTTAATTTGTTCATTGTATTTGTATATAATAGTTTCACAACAAAAGTGGATATAATGGATAATCCACTTGAGTTGTAAAGTATATTTTTTCTACGACCCACTTACGAAAATCTACAAATTTAAAAATTATTTAAGATATTATGACAGAACAACTAATTTTAAAATTATAGATGACTTTAACTTTTTTTTAAATAAAATAAACATAAAAAATACATTTAATTTTATTAGTCCTCGGCCGAGAATTGAACTCGGGTCTCTTGGAAGACCGTCAGATTTGGGATTTTAGTTCTAATACTTGTAATTAAATTAGTTTCATATAGTTTGATTAAAATTTTAAATTTATTTTAAAATGTGGACAAAACAGAAATAGAAAAGCTATTATTTATCGATTCTACACAAAATCATTAATGGTTATTTAACGAACAAGTGTATTAATAAAAGCGATTAACAATCGAGATAATTTAACTCGCGAGCAGAGCGAGCGCGTTAATGTTCGAGATTGTTAATTGCCATTTTAATTTACGAGTTCGTTACAGAACTTTTCCGTCGACCGTACTTTTCAAAAATATAGATATCTTACTTTTAAGAAATTAAATAATGACATACAATGACAGATAGTATTAACACACCTTGATTTAAAATATATATGTATGTTTGGTTGCCTACACTATAGGTAACTGTCGATATAAATGTATAATAATAGCAATGTACGTTGGGTTGCATATAATAAAATCGTTGATTAATCGAAAATCATTTATTTTTGAGTGCGTTAAAATACATCATAAATGGTCGGTCGACGGAAATGTATATTTAACCTTAGTAACTAAAAAATATACTGACAATTAGTTTGACAGAATTGTCACTTATTTAAAATTTTAAAAATAATAGTAGTTGGGAGACCAAAATATGAAATGTGATTGGTGGATAAATTTTTTTTGCAGTGTTCTCACTACCTAGAATGGATATGAAATATATTATTTCAGTTGAATGCAATAGCATACTTTTTTGTTTTGTAGTTTGTTCGTAGATAAGCCAATATCCATGAGGGTATGGAAAAAAGATTTGAAGTATTATCTATTAGAATGTGTGTAGCACTTCGGTTCGTATTGATTAGAAATGATTTTATTAGATTCTTGAATAAATTATATGAATTAATTTTTTTGAATTATAATTTATATGCATCGGGTAAAAAGTTATAAATTTTTGATGCCATAAATGTATATGACCGTTGTCCAATAGTGTTTCGAACATGGTAAGTAATATTCTGTAACATTTCATTATTTTTGGTAAAATTCAAAAGGAAACATATAACTTTCTGACATCTATGAAAGGATAAGTTATTTTTTATTGTATACTATTTTTAATATATTTTTTGTAATATTAATAATTTTTTTATGTGACTTTACAAGCATTACCCCAATCTATTATACCATACTGCAGTCGAGATTCAACTAATACAATCTATACTATTCTAAGGTAAGTTGCATTTAATATATTTTTTAAATATTTGAATTTATATAGCAACATACGAAGTGTTTCAGTTTCATTGTCTATGTGAATAGTCCAACGCTTATGTGAATATATGATTAAACTTATATACTTCATATATTACTTCATTTCCATTTTAATATCTTTTACTTGACTACACTCTTCTTTTATTTTCAAAGATTGAAATGCATTGTATTTATGTAACTCGTAAATGGAACATAATTGGTTTTCCCTTAGTTTACTGTTAACTTCGTGTTTTAGGTCATTTTCTGCTTTTTCCATAACATCATTTCATGTTTCTCCTTCATAAATTATAGCAGTATCGTCTGCAAAGCCAATTATTTTTCCAGACGTTTTTATTCTTAGTAGGTTATCAATGTACAAGAGAAAAGTGGAGGACCTAAAACTGTCCCCTGTAGTACGCCATGAGTAAATTTTTTAAGCGTTTCCTATATTTCGTTGCTGTTCTTTGTTTCTAAGGTAATCGATGAAAACATCAATTGAAGGTTCCCTTATTCATGCATTCTTCTAGACGCCAGTATCTAACAGTATCAAACAGTATCAAACGCCTTCGCAAGATCCAGGAATATGCAAAGAACAGGATTTGTCTTATCAACTGAATTTTATATGTATTTTGTTAAAGTTACAATTGCATTATTTGTTGATAATCTTTGAGGAGAACCGTATTGAAATTCTGACAGCAATTTAAGTTTTCAATATATTTTACTAATCTAGATTTAAGTACCCTTTCTATGATCTTTGTTACAGATTATATTAGAGAGATTGGTCTATAATTTCTTAAAATGTTTTTATATTTTTGTGAATAGGTGTGACGAATGTTTTTTTTAAATATTGGGGGTGAATTTTCTTGCTGAAAAGCATTTATTAATCAGGTTAACTATTAATGGAGCAACTATGTCATTTATTTCCTTTAAAGTTTCAGCTTTTATACCGTCTATGATAATGATTACGATCTTTTTGAATAGAGGAGGCACTTGCCGCTTCATGGCAGCACTGTAACATAGTCAGTGGCCACTTTAACTGCAATGGCCACTTTGCCCATCCGTTCCCTACCTATTACGTACAGTTTTCGATTGCTATTTTTTTTTCTGAATGAAAAAGTCGCATTAGATATTGTCAAAAACTTTTTCAGTCGATAATTAATTATTATAGCTAAATAAATTCTAATTACCAATTAACAAACAGCATATTTCCTATTAACCAGTAACCAGTTTTTTTTTAATGACCTTTGTTTTTAATTAACTTTAAAGATCTTACAAAATTATTAACTTTAGGTATAGAGAATGTTTAACTCAAATGAAACTTTCACATGATGATATAAAAGGATCAATAAAAAAATAGAAAATGATGTAGGTATTTGAGTTTTGATCCAACCCGTACAGATTTGTTTCGAATTAAAAAAAGTTGTGCATCGGCGCAAAAAAAGGTTTTCAATTGTTTCTTTTACAGTATATAGGTCATTTTTTTTATTTATCAACAGTTTTTTAGTTTAACATCTAATTGATTAGATGTACTAAGCAATATTTTTTTTAACTCTTTATTATACAATGAAATTTACAATATTATAAACTAATATTAAACTTACTTTTACTAAGAGAATATCACAAAATAAAACACATTAAATTGCGAAAATCCAATCCATATGAGTTTCACTTAAAACTGGTTATAGCTTATGAAATAACCTGTATAATCTTAAACTATGTGATATTGTTATAACGGAAAAAGCATTCAGGTTATAGCGAAGACCGTTACTTGTTACTTCCATGCAACAGGAAATTGTAAAAGAGAATCCAGTTGCAGATACAATTGTTGAGTTTTAGTTCCAGGAGAAACTCTGTCTTAAGGAGGAGGCAATGTGACGCGGAGCCAACCCTGTCTAGCAAGTGATCTTGAAGCCTGCCACCCGACTCATGGTCGAAAAACCGGAATCTTTTAGGCATGCCACTGACGTATAGAGACAAGCGCATCGCTTCTCGAAACTACCGGATTGTGGCGTATGAGTCATAGAGAGACAGTTCTCGATTATTGTGGAAAGCCTAGAGAGTTCTAGTACAGAGCTGGCCTTTATATAAATAGCGCGAGTTGTCGACGGAAAAGCAGATTGAATTTAAGTGATGGACAGAAAAGATAAATTTATAAATTGTAATAAATAAATTAGAATTGTGTGACAAATAGGTAACACAAAAAGGGAACATACAAACAACATGTACCCCAACCTCTAAGCTCCTATGGACCTTGGTTATCGATGTGGCTTGTTTCTTTAATGTTATCATCTTTGATGTTTGCCTCTATAGCTTTATCTATTATTTTGTAGAAATGGAGATCTGAGTTGTCTCTTTAATTTGGCCCAAAATGAGTTTTAAGGAAGGTATCTATAGAGGACTTGTCTCCTCTCAAAGAGTTGCCCATTTCTTGGAAGTCTAGCTTTAATAAAGAAATCTTCTTGCCTTTCTTCAGTATCGACTTACTGCGCCTGTATCTGACCGGTAGAATATCTCGCCCATTAATGTGACAGAATCGTGTTGATTCGAGAAAACAAACCTCTTTGACACATTGCATTTAAAGGGCTATTGACTAGGCTTTTTAAAAACAGCAACACTCTTCGTTTTCCAATCAGATATGTGCCAGTCTTCACCATGTCTCAAAACTTTTAAATGCTTTGCGATATCTTCAAATTGCTTTCTATCTATTACATCTTTCTTCTTTATGCTTCTTTTAATTATTCCAAAAATCTTATCTGATGGCAAGAACGTAATTTCCATTTCTTTGATGTGTCCAGAAGCTTTGTGTGCTAACCAGTATATTATCATTGCCATCATCGTACTATTCTTGTTCTGATCACCCGCAAAAAGGTTAACTTTCTCTATTTGGTTTTCAGAATTAAATTTAACAAGGGTCTAGTATACAGCAGATACAATAGCATTTGAATTTCTTGGGTGCTCTTATTCCAACCATACATACGAATTTATATTGGAAGGTGTTTCCAGCTACTGTAGTGAAATGGTAGAAATTTATTTGCTGCAAAAAAAGGCGGGTTGATCTGGCAGTTTTGGTAAGCATAGGTTCTTTTGACAGTCAAAAGAAAATATTTATATGTTATCAGATTCACTTTTTAATAAATAGTAAAATGCTTTCGATCTTAAAGTTAAACCCTCAGTTCAGTTATTATGTTTAATTGTTCTTCTTTATAAATTGTTTTTTTTTAGTTTCCTTCGCCCTGAGACAAGTATAGCAGCAAGCGTCACTTAAACGATAGATTGTACTTCTGATTAACATATGCCCTAAAATAGGTTTTTTACTGAAACCTGCTAACGGTGCATTTTATGAAGCTTAGAAAAATTCAGATCTCAATGCTGATACAACCTCGCTGTTTGTTCTGAAGAGTAATGACTTTCTGCACACTTTAAACTCTCTATAAATATTTTAATACCTAACTTTCTTTCTTTATATTTCAACTCTTTATATTTCAACTCTTTAACTTTAACTCTATCCCTTTCCCTTCTTTCTTTTGGTATTCCTCCATTGATGACAAATTTTCTTACAATTCTCTAGATTCTTTCAGAACTTAAACGGGTTATGTTTGGAAATACCTTTCTGCACATTCTTAAACTGCCACTGTAGGAACAACATATTTAACAGAGACCACAAGGAAAAAAATGTGACTAGAAAATTTTACTACAATGTTGTAGTAGTAGACTTGTAGAAAAATACTTAACAATTTGTAGAAAATTTTACTACAATTTATAGTTAAAAACTATTAATTATTGTAGCAATTGAATTGTCGAAAAAAATGCTACAACAATAGGAAAGAAGTCCACAATGTTTAGTATATTTTACTATTGTTTGTAGAAGTAGAAATTTATTACAATTATCGTAATTACTACTACTAACTTCTGTAAAAATTTGTACAAATATTAATAATTATCTCTACAAAAAATAGTAATTTTCTCTACAAAAAATAGTATTACTTTACATCCCTTCTTCAAAAATATTCTATAATATTGTAGAAATTCTAAGTCACGTGAACAAAACAGAATTCTGCTATTGGCCAACGTTTTCTGACGTCGATCATAAACGGCCAGACAGCAGTAGCCGTTCGCCATGTTCACATAACAAAGCATGGTACCTATACGAGTACCTATAACACATTATTATATTATAAGCACCGATGCGTTTGAGAAAATTTTAATAATAAATTCTATTGGTGGTAAGTACATTTATTATTGTTTCTGAATAATTTACCTTTAGATAACTAATTTAAATAACCTTAGTAGATTATTTTAAAAAAATAGTTGTGGCCAACGATCGAATGTTGTGCCCAACGATCGAATTTTGTGCCAAGTTCAATGATGTTTTTTGACTTAATTGTGACATACCTACTTTCTCATTTTTGTTAGTTATCTGACTTAATATCCAAATCAGTGTAAAGGTGATAAATATCCCCGTTTTAAGGGTACAAACAATTCAATTGGTATTAATTTTTATTTCATATTTTTCAGGTGCAGAAAAGCCAACTGAGACTGAGGGCGCTATTATTACTGTTATTTATTACATAATGTAATTAAGAATTTGTATCTTTTATATTAAAACAATAAATTGAATATTTTATTAAGGAACATTTTTTTCTAAGTTATAATTATAATAATTATGGAATACTACTACAAATTTTATTAAAAATTACTACAATTTGTATGAATTTTTACTATTTATTGTGTAAAATTTTCGTATTTATTTTCATAAAACGCAATACATTTTTAATATAAATTCATACAATGAATAGCAAAAATTATAACAATTTGTAGAACAATTCTTATGATGCATTTGGATCTTTTTACTAAATATTGTAGATAATAACTCTACAATACATTCTCCACAAATATTTGGAACTTTTTACTACAAATTGTCCCTGTCCCTATATGTACTATTTATTGTAGAGAAAAAATCTACAATTGTAGAAATTTGTTCTACAATTTTTTTTCCGTGCATGTAAGTCTATACTAGACCTTTTTGGTTTTTGAGCCTCAGAAAATTTTGGAGCAAAAATATCCTGTCTAACATCTACATCGGTATACTTTCTTTGCATGACAACAAGTGGGATATTCAGGTAGGTTTCTAGGCTTGTATCTAAGAAAAGAAAACATTTTCAGTGAACCCCAAATTAAATAGTAAATAACTCAAATTCAAATATAAAATAAAATATCATTATCCTATTTAAAAAAACCTTACTTTGAGAACCCTGTATAAAACAAATTATTTTTAAATTATTGTCTTTTCTAATATACATATCACTGTGAACATATATTTGGCTCTACAAACCAGTATAATCATTATGGTTTTATTTAAGTAGTTATATAAATTCCTAAAAAATAATCTGTCAATTCTAAGACAATTCCGTTTCGACTATACCTACATTTTTCTTTTAAATAACTTATGTACATAATTTGAAGCGGTTTTTGTCAAAATTATGAAAAATATTGGATAAAACATGTGTTAAGAAATGCAATTTTGTGTAATTTTGTTTTAAATAATTTTGTTAAATTACCTGGTAATTTATTGTCACCTTATTTAAGAATCTCAATAGATGAAGTCAGATCAATAACTACATCTCAATTTTTTTTTCTAATATATTTTTTAATTGACTTTAAACAAACTGTAAATATTTTTTTTTTCAACTATTAAATGTTTGGTAATTTGATAATTTATGCTATAAAAATTGTCTCTTAGACTGAATGAATAACAATAAACTTTACATCTCTAGGTAAGAAACAAAAATAAAATTTAGTTTACAAATAAAAATTCATTTTTCTCGGAACAACATTCGGTTTAATTATGTTAAATAAAATTTTATGCAGACAAAATTGACCGCTTTATAATTTTTGGCAAATGTCACCTTGTATAAGAATCTCAACAGAGGCATGCAGACCAATTTAAAGAAAGATACGATCCGGGCGCACTTTAATATTATAAAATATTCGAAACCATTAATTTGAATAAAGGCAACATTAAAACATCTCAAGGTGGCGATGAATCTTGGCTTGGTGCAGACGAAGGTTTCCACTTGTTCCTCCTCGTTTCCTTGGAAACGGAATTCCTCCACCAATGGCAGCGAGCGGGCGTCAACTTCGGATGGTTTAAGACCCAGATAGGCATTCTTCTTATTTCCAACGTTTCCATTCAGTGCGGAATCCCCAGCGATGCATCTTTCCTGCTGGAGATATTGTTCTTGTTTCCTTAACGGCTTTTTCGGACACTGACGTATTGGCCCCGCGTTGCAGGAGAGCTAACAAACTGCCGGCTTTCTGAAAGAATTTTCAAGTTATTTAACTTATATGGCCTCATACACATGCTAAAAAAGTTAAACGAATTTTTTGCAAAAAGATATATCATGAATAATACTAAAAATAATTGACTATTAAATTGTTAATTATTGCTGTCCATTAATGAATGCTATTTTCATTAATAAAGAAAATATACATTAAATCAAGATTTGTCATTGTCACCAGTGGCGGTTACATCCATTCGAGTAAAGAGGCCATCAGGTGCAGGTCATATACAGTGTGTGCCATAAAGTTGGATTCATATGTGATTTTTTTTAACACGTTGAAGGACTAAATTTTTTTACAAGATACCAATCTAGGATGAGATTACAGAACGTCTGCAACTTTGCAGATCTGCAAATATGGCGGCAACTTTGTAAATTATTAGAGGTTTTAAACATAGTAATGGATTTGGGTTTAGTGTTGTTTGGGGTAATAAACCACAATAAATATTGCGAATTTGTAGATATTTTTTGGAATACGAAAACTTGATACTTGCATCTGTAAGTCCACCATATTTGCAGATCTGCAAAGTTGCAGACTTTCTGTAATCTCACCCTTAGGCAGTACAGTTTTTTGCAAGAAAACTAATTTTTAAGCATTAATAACTATTACTATTGGAAAAAAAATAGTAAAAACCCATTTTTTTGTCAGTACATCACTGACGTTCGAACGCATTGTGACTGTAGCAATTGGATATCATTATATCGTATAATAATAATAATAATAATAATAATAATAATAATAATATAATAATAATAATAATAATATTAATGTTTATTTACAGATAACTTGTTTTTACAGTAATACGCTAAAATAAAAATTATAAATATAATAAATATTGTAAATAAACACAGGTGACCCATAAAACCTAAGGGTTGTGCATGGGCTTGATAATTTATTTAAATTATTTGCTCTATTTATTAATTTTTTCTTTTAACAGCATTATAATATACATATAAATTATAGCGATGAAGTAATGTAATATACCTAATGTTTTTTTTATCATTTTTTTTTTACTTAATTCGAATATTTTAAACTAACTACAACT